TTGGGAGGACTTATCGCTAGTGATTTAAAGACTTCCCACAAGGTCTCACTTGATGAAGACCGTAATTGGATTAAGTTTACACCTACTTAGTACCGTTAACTTAAGACTTCAGAGTTTAAATGTCATGGGTTAAGAGGCCAAATCATTTCAAATGACAGCAATATCAGTTAAGTAAAAATTCCTCCTTTCAATTGCTCAGTCCTTATCTCCTGAATAACACATTACTCTTTATTTTCTCTTCCATAACCTATCCAACACCTTCTTAGGAAACCCTACTGATCTGTTTTTACATTCATACAGAATGGGATGACTTTTTATGACTTCCACCTGCTCTTACCTGGTCCAAGCCACACTCTCTGTTATGGTTATGACCTAGGATTCCTAATCAGTCACCCTACTTCTGCCCTTGCTCCTTTCAGACCATTATCTGCACATCAGCCATAGTGAACTTGTTAAAACATGTCAAACCATTCTACTCCAAAGGCATACCATAGAAATCATAATAAAAGTCAAAGTCTTTAGAATGCACTACAAAGTCCTACTGACTTTGGCTTCATGTGACCTGTTTGACTTCACCTCTTAGTTCCCTCTTCAGTACCTACTCTGCTATAGTAAAGTGGCCTTTTTGCTCTTCCTGGCTCCAGAATGTACAAGCTTCCTGCAGTGGTCTTTGTTCACCACCTTGAACAGGGCCTGGAACATAGCAGGCATTCAAAAGGTATTGCATTTATTCAAAAAATAGTGAATGAATGATTAGATAAGTAATAAATTTCTTAATTGAATAACTGATTTGCATTAGATCATGGAGATAAATAAGAACATACCCTTTCATTTTGGTGACAGACAAATAAAGGCAATTCCTATCTCATGTTAAAGTTCTTACGTATTAATTAGTGCAGTGCATTATATGGAAAAATATATATAAGCAACACTTCATTTAGTTTCCTGATTAGGAAAATGACCTGAAGAGTTATAGTACTTAAACAGAAACCTGAAGATTTAATAGAAATAATACTAGTAATGAGAACAGGTAAGAGGGAATATAGTCTTCAATTTACTACAAAATTCTGGGGAATTGTAGTCATACGTTAGCATTAGAGTGAAAAGTATAAAGGATAAACCATTCACAAATCGAGGAGTATACAGTGACCTAGTTACGAAAGGCCTTGTAGGTCCTGAAAGGGAAGATACAAGATAGTGAAAAGTTAAAGTATTGAACAAGGGAGGGACATAATCCTATCTTTTTAAAAAGATAATAATGAATCTGTTGTGTAGAACAGATTGGACATGGGAAAGTCTGGAGTTGTAAACCTTGGAGAAAATTTTATAATTGTTGCAATATAGACAAGAGATAAAAGCAAAATAAACTAACTTCAGAAGAAGGCAGTGGAAGATACAGTTGGGCTATGCGAACTCAGCGCTAAATCACTGCTGCATACAGCTACAAGAATTTGAAAGGACAAACAAGCTCACAAACTGTGGCCTGCAGTACCACCTGGCATCTGTATGGCATGGAATTTAAGAACAGCTGCTGCTAAGCATGGACAAATTCAATTTGTGTAAACGGTTTGCACCAAACACCATCAACCTCAAAGAATTGACTGCAGGCACCTAGCAAAGTACAATGTTTTACAGACAGTGCAGTTGTACTTAGTATGCTTATTCATTCATTCACTCATGTATATTTATTAAGTAGCAACAAGTGTAAGGGACCCCTCTAAGGACTGTGGATGCAGCACGCCAAAGGCAAAAGCCCTTGTCCTTGTGGAGATTATAATCCATTGAGGAGAAATAAAAAATTAAATAGGTGTCTATAATAGAGTATCAGATGGCGATAACTGCTATGGAGAAAATAAGGGAGGGAAGGAGGTTGGGAAGGCCAGAGGAGGGACAAGGGCAGTTTAAAGCTGTGAAGAGGGACAGTAAAGGACTGCACTGATAACCTGGAGCAGGACTTGAGAGAGATAAAGGATGAAAGCAGGCAGCTCCCTGGATCTGAGAGCAGAGAGAAAAGTCTCTCTTATTCATGATGTTCAAACACAAAAAAATGTAACTAATCAGAGAACAGAACACTTTATTTTCATAGCGAGAGGTCAATGCCATGGCAGACCCCAGATGAACAGACCTGTTTCCATTGTAGAAGCTCAGATTCTTAGAGACAACTGGTGGTCAAGGGTGAATGAGTCCTGTCCTTCCCTGGAAACTGCTGTGTAATCCCCTTGAGGCATGGCTGGTCAGTCCACATGCAGCAAACATCAGCTGTGGTTTCCTTTGGATATTGCTATGCTTGAAAATTATATGTGTGTGTGTGTGTGTGTATGTGTATGCAAAGAGTTTTGAAAGGATATATGCACTAATTTTCAATGTGGCTTTATTCATGTACAGAATCAACTTAAGTGTCAACAGATGAATATTAAATAAAATGTGGTGTTCATGTATAATGGAATACTATTCAGCCCTAAAAATAAGAGAATCCTGTAATTCGCAACAACTTGGAAGAACCTGGAGGGCATTATATTAAGTGAAATAAGCCAGGCACAGAAGGACAAACACCACATGGATCCACTTACATGTGGACTGTAAACAAGTTGAAATAGAAACAGAGTAAAGTGGTAGTAACCAGGGACTGAGTATGAGGAAGGTGGTGGTGGTGAGGGGATTAGGGAGATGTTGGTCAAAGGAGAAAATAATGGTTGCATTTTTTCTGTTACGAATATGCTGTGTGCAAATAGATTAAGTTTTAATGAAACAAATAGTTTAAACACAAAGAAAAGACTTACAAAACTGCACCCAGGAGAATGCTGCCTGACATCTCGGAGCTTCAGGGTCTTCATTTGTGACAATGATAACATCCTGCTTACTACACCTCAACACGTTAGTGAAAAAGATGACCTGTGAAAGTGTTGGAGAACTGTCGAGTTTCATGCAGATGAAAGCTGTTATTAACGAGTAAGAAAGTCTGTTAGGGTTTCAAGTATTGTATTTTAAACTCAACTCTTCAGGCTTGCATCTTCCAACTACAGGATCTCAAATGGACCAAAAAAATGCTAACATTAACCTACAGTGCCCCCTAGCCCATGTAGGCGGTCAAGGCAGCCGATGGGCTTTGTGAATTTGCTGGAGCACAGATGGCTCTTTTGCCTGAGGGAAGGGCATTGATTGTGCTTTTGGAAGATTTCCATCTGTCCAAGAGGAAAAACACTTATGTATTTTCTTCTGTGTTTGCCTATCATTGTTTTAATTATTTTATTTTTAAAAAAGAGATAAGGAAATAAATATCCTTTACTATTTAAATCGTCTGCCTTCAAATGGCTTTCAGTGAAGAATATTTTTGTTGCTATTAAGAAGTTCATCTCCCTCATTCCAATACACATGAAACCCACCAACAGGTACAGAACTGTGTCAGGAAATACCATTGAATATTTTAATGCTCAAACAGGTAGAAACGTTTGTTCACCCAGTTTATAAAAGCCCAAATTAAAAATATATGAGTTACTTCCTTCTGCACGCTACTGTCTTAAGTTTATCTTTGATGATTAATTTCACAATTTTTTTTTATAGAAAAAAATGAATTTGAACAGCCAGGAGTACGGGAGTAATTTGGGACACAGAGTGATGAGTCTTTAGGAAACTGAACTTGCTGTATGGAATTATCTTCCATGCTGAGTATTTAAGTATTAATCAGCATAGCTTTGAGGGATTTCTTTATAACATCCTTTTTCTGTGTAAGAAAAGGACTGCAATTCATTACACCATTGGAGGAGCCAGAGGCTTTGCTAAGATTTGCCTTTCTTGACTGTTCATCTCAGATTTAAAGGGTTTGTGTGTGTCTGCTTGTGCTTGCACACACGTGCATGTGGCTATACCATATTGGTGACCAGATTTGAATGGTGACACCATCTGGGTTACCGTTCAGGCTAAACATCTCTGGCCTTCAGGGGGGTCAAGTATCACTGTAGCCACAGTGTGCTTTCCATGAAAGGATGCAGCAAATGTAAAGTGGACGTCTCCGAGGTGACTTTTACCACCAGTCATTTTTCTTTACATCTCTCCAGCAACCCAGCTCAGGAAATACTCAAGTAATAAGAAATTGCCCTTCGCCCACTGCTGGCTTCCAAGAGAAAACCTCTGTTACCCCATCAGTGGTGCCCTGCGTTCCTCTAATTCCTCCTGCGTATAACATCACACACAACAGCAAACCCTAAAGCCCAGAGAAAGGAGAACGCAGGCACAAGGCATCAATCCTGTTCGCAGCGCCTTTTTGACTTGGAAGGGGAGACTACATTTTCGCGAGGATGATGGTATTCATAGGAGGGGCGGGTTAAAAGTGTGTTCAATTCCACCTTAATGGCAGAACTCGCCTTCACCGTGTTCCCCCTACACACACACACCCGCCTCCATACACACTGGTTAATCTCTCCCCTGTGCTCCCGCGTGGATTCGGGGACCCTTCTCTCTTTAAGACGGCCTCCGGCGCCCCTCACTCCGCCCCCTCCCAGGTCTCTGGGCTTGTCAGAGCTTCCCGAGAGCCATGGTTGGTCCAGGCAGGCAGTCGGAGCACCTCGTGGAGCGGCTGCTCGCCGGGGGTGGGGAGCGTTGGGGTGGGTTGGGGGGGTCTGTTTGTAGTACTCTCGGTCCTGATGTCACAGGCGCGGCAAGGACATCGCAAGGAGGAGTCGGATTACAGTAAGGATGGGCAGTGCAGCAGGCAGCCCGAGCGCACGCTCCGGCCGCCTGCGATCCTAGCGCTGGAGAGAGGCAGCCTGCGAGCGCCCATCCCGCGGAGGAGGCTCGATCGCAGGGCGCTCGCTGCGCTCCGCCGGGGACCTTGCCGCCGAGCGTAGCATGAAAGGGCTCTGCCCTGCGCGCCTGCCTGGAGTGCGAGCCGATGCTGAAGACGCCGTGGTGGGGTTCCAGCTGTCTGGTTAATGAGAAACATAATGTATTTTGGTGAGTGTTCACTCTGGTGATGTCATTCTGGGGGTGCCAGGCTCTGGATCATTGCAGACAAGCCCTTAAAATAATCTTTAAGACGCGAGAATATATTACGTGAAGCCTCTCTCCAGTTGGCAACTGGAAGACCAAGCTGGTGCAGCCTTCGAAGCTTCCTTTGTGCTGCCATTGGGGCTGATAATGAACGTGCATGAGTTTAAGTTGGGAAAGAACAGAGACGGGGTGAGGGTAGATAAACTTTGGCTTGATGTGTCGGCTTGAAGTTGGCTTCTAAACTAGGTGAAGAAGGAGAAATGGTGCAGCGTGGGAAGTCGGGGGCTAACTTAATGGGATGTGAAACAAAGTTCCTGTGCTATTGATGCTGTGCAGGCGTTGTCAATACGGGCGTTTCTTCAGGCGTTTGGTTTTCCATAAATCCCAGGCAGAGAAGGAAAACATTCTCTGGCGAGCAGCGGTGAGCAGTGAGAACCCTCCTCCCCACGTCTCAGGGCTCCCTCTGGCTAGGAGCCGCCTTGCACAAAATGCAGATTATTTTAAGCCTTTAGAGGTCTCGGAGCTTTTAAGCATTTGTGCAGTTCAGTTTTGTGCCATGGTGGAAACCTCCCCTGGGTTTTCAGCCCTGCCGCCTGCGTTTCCAGAAAGCATGCTAAAGCTCAGCTGTGCGCTATCCGTGGAGCAGTGGAAGAAGTGGGCTTGGAGCTGTACAGTTGCACTGTGAGGCTGCAACTTATTGATAGGAGAGAAGACAAAGCCCCTTCACTAACTAAGAAGAAGCCAAGGATTAGGACGGACTGTTATTTCCTCCTCCCCGAAGTTGAAGTTATGCTTTCCTTCTGTAAGTCCCATGCAGCGGCATCATTTAAGGGCATCTCTCTGATATTAACAGGTCTGTGAGAACACCTGGAGAGGGAGTAGAGAATGCAAATGTTCTGGGTGATTTCCTGATGGGCTTTGCGTTTTAAATCTAGAGTCTTCCTTCAAATGAAAATAGGTATTTAGGTGAATTTGGTTGAAGCATTATTAGTTTGTGAGGCATTATTTCTGTGAGTACTCTTTGTTTTGCCTTTTCTTCCCCAGAGCCTCTGAAATGTTTGAAAAAGTATGGAATGAACCCAAGTTGTAAAAGCTAAATGCCTTCAGTTGTCTTGACAGCATTTTGATTTCCCTACAATTTGCGTCACATTAGAAATGAAGTCTTAATATAACCAAAATTGATTTGAAAGAAGCAATCCTCATTTCATGCATGAATTTAAGCAGAATCCAGAGTTAAACAGCCCTTCCTTCCAGAGGATAATGATGGACGGAGTCAGCCTGTTTGTTAGTAATTAATGAAACAACATTTGTCATGCATATATTTTTGATAAATGGAAAAGCTTGTAAAGGTATTATGTCTTTCAGACAAAATAACATTTCAGCATCAGTAATGATATAGACGGATGGTGAAGTAGATTATAATTTTAGTTTAAGTTTTCAACCTCTTACAATTGCTGATGTGGTTGTGGTGAGGCCGTAAAGCTAACCAGAGTAGCAGTGAAGTCTCAAAGTGTTGGTCAGAGGCCACCCATGATGTACTGGCCATCCTGTGGCTATTGGGGAGATGTCCACTAGGCTAGCCCAGGTTACTCACTAGGCTAGCCCAGGTTACTCACTAGGCTAGCCCTGGTTCAGCTCTCTTATAAAGCAGGATGAGTCACAGGATAATTAGTGTCACTGTATAATGCAAGTTTTTAATAGTACAAATTGAAAGGTGGTGCTCTGCCTACTTGGATGACACTGTATTCTTTGCAAGGCAAGGCTAAAGTTGTCTCCTGTGTCCTGAACGTGGTCCAGTCCCACTGTAATTCCGACATGAGCAATGTTTTTCTATTCCCGGAGGAAATCATGTGGATTCAGGATTGGCAGTCCTTTCAGGATGTGCTGTGCAGCCCCTTACTCAAGCTGTTAGACATCCAGAACTCTGGGAGCCCACCTGTCTTTAATAAAATGTGTGATACAGGAGCTAGGGCAAAGAGAATTGAGGGAAATACCCCAAGCATGTTACAATTCAATAACATTCTAACATTTGGAAGGCATTGTATATATAGACTCATGTCTGCATTTTTGTATGTGTTTCCCTATTTGTGAATGTGTATATTGTGTGTGCATTTTTGTATGAGTGTATGTATCTGAAATATCAGATGTTTCAGGTAATTTTTCAAAACAGTGCTCGCACTTTGAGAATTGGTTGAACATGACTTTCTTCTCCATTTTTCCACTGCAAAAGGTTTCTCTAGTCAGAGAGAACAGGGACAAAGGGACAGAAGTGCTGCGTTCTTGGCTTTTCTGGTGCTTTGTGGGAATGGGGTAGAGGTGTCAGAAATCTTTTATGGGTGTCTCCAGCAGGGAGCAATAAAGAGCATGGTGATGCTCTGGCCTGGGGTCAGTTGGTAGGAAAGCAGGACATTTGCTCCCCTTGTACATATCTGATTTGTCAGTGTTGCCTCCTTTCGAATATGAATGAATAAGCATTGCCTGAATAGGCTGGCTCAGCCTATCTGCTTCTCTTTAAGCTTTCTTCTCCTGAGGACTGGACCGTTGGACCTTGCCCTAGTTTGATTGGAGTTAGTTGCCTGTGTGCAAGTTGATGCAATAGATAATACTTCCAGTTCTTAAGAACAATTCATGCTTTGAGTGTGCCGTCTCAGACTTAAAGACCACTGGCCTCTCTTAATGACTTAAGCCTCATGCTTATCTCCTATTGAGATTTTAGTGCAGTGTATTCAATAATTGTTCATCTGCACTTACTGCACAGTGATTTAAGAGTTCGCTGTTCAGTCACCGTGGATACTTTTGTTACTTATTCTATCGATCTTGCATTCATTAGTTGGAGTTAAATATAAGGTTCACACGGGAGAAAGGAGTGGGGGAAAATCCTAGTCAGCAAATTGAATGGGATTTACTGTAAAAAGCAAAGGAAAATAATAAACACTTAGGAAGTTACCCTTCCTACCCCCATAAATATTTTACATAGTTAAAATTTACACGTGCCAAGGATAAGCAGCCATTAATAATTTATCCAGAAATAAAAGCAAGGCAGCTGGGAGGCTGATCCTCAGACTAAGGAAGAAAGGCTGTGGGTGGTTGTCAGTACAAGAGACTGAGCTGCCGGGCTGCTCTTGGATTGAGAAGCATGTGCTGGTATGAAGGGCATGTTCTCTACCTGAGTGTATCCAGGCAGTCACGCAGTGCTTGGAAGAATGCTGGAACTATGCACCTTCTCCAGTTCTGAGTGCTGTCGTCCCCCCCCCCCCCCATACACACACACCTGTCTCTTCCCATCTGGCCTCATACCTTTCTCCTCTGTTGGGGTGTTTTTTTTTTCAAGGGTCACATCATGTAACCACATAAACTGCTATGGTTGACCCAAGAGGTGCCACGCCTCACCCTTGGCCATCGAGAGAGAAAAATAGGAGGCTGCTGGTGTTGAGGAAACTGTGGCTGATAATCAGTGCGTTATCAGGCCCAAGTCAAGCGATAGACATGAGGGTGCCCTCGCAGCCCAGAAGTGACAGGGGCTTGCTCCTTGAGAATAGTCTGGAGAAATGAAATTCTGTGGCTTAAACAAACGAGAACAACTGAGAAACAAATATTAGCACTCACTGTCAATGTTACTATTAATGGTGTATTAATCAAACCCAGAGAAAAGGGCAAGCAAAATTTAGAAAGTGTGAATGAGGCACTGAAGTTCAGCTTGGTGTTAATTGTGGATTAGCTGTCTTCTTTAAAATGCCTAAGAAAAATCAGAAAAATACTTAGTACTGTGCCTGCCATAATAAAAAATATTTCCTTGAGGAAGCTTTCAATGGAATAGCTAAAAAAAAAAAAAATCAGGAGAATTGTAGATCAGAATCCTGTTTCCCTATCTAGAATAGACATGTTTGTCTATTGTTTTAAAACCAACTTTTGTCTTCCTTTAGGGATGTTTAGAGCATTCTCAAGTCAGCATTTACACTTCTGGTTGTGGCTAGACCATCAAGGTTCATCTCCAAAGCTATATGTTAGCAAAACAGTCAAGCGGCAAGGTTATGAGGAAGGAAATGATCAGAAAACAGCAGGCAGCAGAGAAGAATATTCCTCTGTTTTAGTGATTTTGTAGGAAACGTTTAACTCCATCTAATTAGTTTATAGTGAGTAATCTGTTATGGGGAATTAGGTCCATCCAGTCTTTCTAAATACTCTGTCTTCCTGAGGCAGACAAGGAGAGAGAATAATTCAGGTCTGAACTTGAACATCCAAATTCTCTCTTTTAAAGTTTGGAGTTGTTACCATCACATTTGATTACAAATGAATCCAAATAACATTCAGTAATAACATAAGATGGTGAATGTGACAGGTGGATCGTGCATAGGAATGGGAAATAGGAGTTCTAAACCTGTAAAGATTTCTCCCTCAGGACAGTTCTCTTTTAAATTCTTATGAAGTTCCTGTTTTAAGAAGTCAGCCACATTTGATCAATAAGCTAGCACCTCAAATACCTCATTACAGCCTTAAATTTAGAGCTAATTTTTTAAAGGACTTCCTTAGTTGTTGTAATTATATGGAAATGAGATGGTGTATTTAAAGGATAAGTTCCAAAATTCATGAGATAATGACGACTTGCAAAGTTACCCTTTTGTGGGTGGCATAATTGTTCTAGAAAACAAATGAAAAATTTAAATTAATGGTTTCCGACTTTGATTCCAGAAGACTTGGCCACAGCTGCTTTAGACTGAAACCTCTCTTGATGAGACAAGATGTGTTGGTTAATGTGTGTGTGTTTAACACTGGAACACCACACAGCGCCTTGCTAGATAGATGCCTGAAATCATAGCTCATTGTCAGCTTATTTGTATTCCTAAATCTTTTCACATCACTTGAAATGTAACACATTAGCTATTGATTTAGTAAAATGGATATTAAGAAATTATTTTTGTACAGCTGGCTTTCAGGTTTTACAACCATTTGTACATTAGGAATTAAAAAAAAACAAATCAGAGGGATAATTTTCAAGGCTTTTTCTGCAAAAACAAAAGAGAGATGCTTGTATAATCAGGAACCTACTTCTACTTTGACCTTGAGAAAGGAATGCTTACATTTGTGTTACACTAGGAAAAACATGTCAAAAAAACAACAAAGGTCATGGTGGCTGCCCTGTCTCTTTCTGTCTCTCTCTTTAAAGAAGCCATTACATATCATTTCCCACAAAGATTAGTTTTACAACAGAATTTCACACATGATTGGTGGCATTAAGGGAAAATACAGCATAAGAAGTGGCTAGAAATATCAAAGCTTAAAGTGGTTGAGATCATGCTTGAACCAAATTGCTAGGGTTGAAAATAGGAAGACGTTTTGCTCTGTCGCAGCGTTAAAATCGTTATGAAGCAGCTGGAAGTCAGCCCTCATTGAATGTGCACTCTGCTTTTGCACAGCCTTTAAAATGGAAGGTGTTTCCACCAAACATTCTCCATTCCAAAACCTCAGTGCATACGAATCTCTAGTACAGCGTTGGAGGGGATGCAATGAACCCCTCTCATCCTTATCAATCTTTCAGTTTTCTCTCTCTCTCTCCTTTTTTTTTTTTTTCTCACTTGTAGTATCACATTTCTGTAAGTAGAGAGGGAAAAGAAAAGTAACCTGGCCAAGGTCAGAAAGGAAATCAGCAGCAGTCTTAGTATCAACGTTCAGAGTTAATTCTCTCTGCCCAGAAAGCAGTGGACGATGGGGGCTGTAGGGGCAGGGATGGGATTGTTGAGTTGAGTTCTAATGGATGAATGTTGTTGAATCTGTGTGCTCAATGCCAGGCACTTAGAAATATGT